GAAAATTCTATTTGTTTTACACCAAAATGTAGATCTCGTTGTGCCGATTGCAATCGAGTCGAAAATATATAGGGTCGCGAATCTGATTCTCGCGCAGCATGGCAGGGATTGATTCCCTCCCAACACATGCTGACTAGACGCGCAGCAAGCGAGATGAGAGTGGGAAACTGAAATTGTACCACTTCGTTTCCCTGCTAAGGTGAATTTCGTTTCCGTAATTCGACAGGGTTTTCAAATAAAAAAATCACCACGCGCTTATAATAAATCATGTTTTTTTAGGGGGTGCGCTTATAATCGAGGACCGGATATAAGCGCCATATGCCTTTTTATAAGCGCTCGGCGCTTATCCGAGGCCTGCGCTTATATCCGGGGGCTTACGGTAAGGTGGCTGTATTGAGTGAAAATTTGGGACCTACGCATAGCCATGACGTCATAACCCACTGCAACATCAACAACTTATTTAATACAGATAGTAAACAATTCAACCAATAAATGCAATTTTTTTGCAACATGATTCAAAAAGTAGTTTTTGTCAGGTACAGAAAAAAGTGAAAGCTGGGTGTTGGCCGGTACGGAAAAAAAATATTTCAAATCCTATGACGAAGCCTAGCAGCTAGTGGTCTAAAACGGCCTAGGAGCTTAGTCTCTAATACCATGTTAAGAGTAGGCTAGCAAAGTGTCGAGACTAGTAAGGGACCCCCCCCCCTTTTTTTTTTTCCCCCTCTAATGGTACTTCAGCCAGATTTTGGCCTGTCTGATTTGTCAGAATAACGAACGAGAATGGATTGAACTAGCAGCAAGGTGGGTACAAGTAGGAAACCCTAATTGGGTTGTACCCCATATGGGCTACCCCACTACAGCCTACAGAATAATCAGCATATAAGTTTGACACACCCCCATAGGCAAAGTGGGGGAGAACAAGAGGTCACAAGACCGGTCAAGAAAAGCAAAGCAAGCTCAGGGTGGATCACGAAGTCACCACACATTCTGAGCACAAGCAAATGGCCACAAGGCCAGTTCACATGCAGAGTTATATATAAAGGAGAACAAGCAGTACAGTGATCACAACCTAGCAAGTGTAAGCATGCAGGTATATGTATATAGATCACAGTACAAGCAAAGTCAAGAAGTGAGCAAGTGAGGCCAAGTAGGCACAAGGCCTAGAACAGTACAAAAACGCTGATGATCACAAGGCTGAAGTGCCTTGGTGAAGATATCAGCAGTGTTGGCCTGAGAGGCCACGTAAACAAGACGAAGCTGACCACGCTGCTGCAACTCTCGAGCAAGGAAGTAGCGCAGAGCGATGTGCTTCGTTCTGTGCTCCAGTCTGTGCTCCTGACACAAGGCAATCATGGCCTTGTTGTCGACGTACAGAACTGGAGGAGAACGAGGCGGCTCTCCCAAGTCGGTCAGCAGGTAGATGAGCCAGCGTAACTCCTGTGCAGCCATGGCCCCTGCGTAGATCTCAGCCTCACAACTGGAGCTGAGAACAGAAGACGAGCGGGTAGACCGCCACGAAACAGAGCCGGAGCCAAGGCTGAAGGTGTAACCCTGTGACGACCGCTGCGTAGCCAAGTCGTCAACCCAAGAAGCGTCTGCGTGACCAGTGAGGACAATTCGAGCCCGTCCTCCAAGCACGAGCCCCATGCCCGACGTACTGCACAAGTAGCGCATCACCCTCTTAGCGGCCTTCCAATGCTCTGGTCGGTGTCTCCCGGGCGCAACGTAGCGAGCCAGGATGCTAAGAGGGTAAGCAAGGTCAGGTCGAGTGCAGGTCATCAGGTACATGAGGCAACCCACAAGCTCTGGATACGGTCCACTCGGCTCTACGGACTCATCCGAAGGCAGATCTGAGAGCGAGTGACCGGTAGGCAGAGGAGTGGACTGTGGCGAGGAGAACGTGAAGCGGAAGAGCTGAAGGACCTGCTGCACCATGTGTGACTGAGTCAAGGTAATGGTGCGCTGTGCTCTGTCCCGGGTGATCTGCAAGCCAAGATAGCTGCGCAGCTCACCCAGGTCTGTGCACGTGTGTCTCTTCTGCAGCTCCGACTTCACGTGGGCTTGTTTGTGTAGCGGGTTCGTGCGCCCATAACCCCCCAGGCGAACGCGCCTGTAACCCCCCTTAGGATCAATCGGGCATCCACAGTGCAGATCTACTGACACCCCCCCACACTGGGAGGCCCAGGACTGAGCACAGCGGCAACGGCCTACATGTGCATACACCGGGATTCGAACCCGAGACCGCTCTGATACCATGTCAGAATGACGAACGAGAATGGATTGAACTAGCAGCAAGGTGGGTACAAGTAGGAAACCCTAATTGGGTTGTACCACATATGGGCTATCCCACTACAGCCTACAGAATAATCAGCATATAAGTTTGACATGATTGCTCAGTCTCCAGGAAATCGTCTCTCTTTTAGTTCAGTGTTGGCATGTGTCGAATCAGTGTCTAAAAAAAAATATATTTCCCGCTATATGTGACAAGAAAACCTCGTTACAACACTAGTACGTCAACTAATATCTGGCAGACATGCTACACTACACTTTCCTCTAGTGAAGGGGCTTGTCCATGTGGTAATTCTCTTCCCCCTCCTCCTCGCCATCGGACAGGAAGGGGTTGTCGTCTTCGTCAGAGTAATCTCAGGGTGGGGACTCTTCGATCTCCAGATCCAGAACCCGCTCTTCTCCATCATCGTCGGACTCCGCGAACTCCTCCTCCTCTTGCGGCGGCTCGCTGGGTCCCACCTCTCCCTCCTCCGGTTCCTTCCCCTTACGCTTCCGCTCATCCGCAGGGAAAACGACACTCTGCGTCGAGCGCCTCTTCTTGAGGCTCTTCCAGGTGTCCAGCACCCCAGGCCAGTCCATCTCGTACTCCAGCAGTGAAATCTGCATCAACTCCGCCAGCCGGGCGTTGCACAGCGACCCACGCACTCATGATTTGATGACGTTCTGGCGCGAGAACCCCCTGTTGTCAGAACTAGCAGTAGAAAGTAAGAATGAAGAAAGGAGGTTCACTAGCAAGCAGTTGAGTACATATAGGAAACCCTAGATTGGGCTGTACTCGCTATAGAGTACCCCACTGCAGGCTAGACAAATACAACATTCTGACACACCCCCATAGCCAAAGTGGGGTGTAATCAGCACAATGAGCAGGTATAGCAGGAGTTCACAATAAGAAGCAAAGCTAGAGGTAATCACAGCGGGCAAGTGAGGAGGAGGAGGGACTGTGAGAGGAGAGAAGATGAGAGACGGCGGCTGAAGCTGCAGACACACGGGCAACAGGAGCTGCTGGCACAGTGGCTACCGGGACAGTGCGCCCCGGACTACTGGAGTAACTGGCTCACGGGCTACGACGAGCTACAGGAGCAACGGACCCTCGGGCGACAGGCGCAGCAGACTCTCTGGGCTACCAGGACAGTGCGCCCCGGACTACAGGTGCTGCGGACGACAAGACAGCAGCCTCCGCTCAACCTCCTCCAACTGTCCCACACACCCCCCACACACCCACTGCTTCACTCCTAACTCCACTTGCACGTCACCCCCCTAGTACCACTCCTTCGGCTCCCACACACCCACCCCCCTCAGCGGCAACTGCAGCACTGGGAGACGGAGGAGGAGGAGGAGTAGGGGACGACGCACAGAAACTGCACCCCCATACCCCCCACCCCCAAACCCTAATTCAGGAGAACGGGCAGCAGCAGGGGTGGGGCGCCGTCAGAAGCACGGGGGACAGCGGGCAGCGCAGGGGCAGAGAAAACAGGGCGCCCACGGGCCTGGCGCAGCCCGTACGAACCGCGTGCAGGCGGCCCGAGGCGCGCCCTGGCCTGGCGCAGTCCGTACGGGCCGCGCGCGGGCCTGGCGCTGCCCGTACGGGCCGCGCGCGGGCCTGGCGCAGCCCGTACGGGCCGCGCGCGGGCCTGGCGCAGCCCGTACGGGCCGCGCGCAGGCTGTACGGGCCGCGCGCGGGCCCTACGCAGGTCGCGCAGGCCGCGACGGGCGACGGGGGGCGACGCGCGGGTCCCCGTCGCCCGTCGCAGCGCCTCCCGGGAGCGACGCGCGGAGTGACGGGGCAGAAAGCCGCCGCGCGCCTCGGGGCGCACGGCGGGCAGAAAACCGCCGCGCGCCTCGGGGCGCACGGCGGGCAGAAAACCGCCGCACGCTCCGAGCGCGCGGCGGGATGAAAAATCCGTCGCACGCCACGGGGCGTGCAACACACAGAGTAGCAGTAGCAGCGGAAGCAGTGAGGTGGTGGGCCCACCCACAGGATCGACCCAAGGGGATCGACCTGCTCTGATAGCATGTCAGAACTAGCAGTAGAAAGTAAGAATGAAGAAAGGAGGTTCACTACCAAGCAGTTGAGTACATATAGGAAACCCTAGATTGGGCTGTACTCGCTATAGAGTACCCCACTGCAGGCTAGACAAATACAACATTCTGACACCTGTCGCACTCCACGGTTGACAGCGCCAAAACTGCCAGCGCCTGCCACAGCAACAGCAAGTTGGGCCAGCGCCTACCGAACAAAAGGGGGGAAACACGGATAAGCAAGCACCGCAGGCGTAGGGGTAATAACAGTCGCACACACGTAGCAGTGTGACTAACCTTTTTGCTTCGCCGCTTGCCAGGAAGTTTGACATGCCTTGCGCGAAGGACTCCTCCTCGTGGTGCGTCTCCATGATGGGGCACCAGGTTGCGAGCTCCCGCGAGGTTGACTTGATGTCAAATCCCGGGAGCTTGTTCTTGAACAGTGCGATGCAGCCAGTCAGCCAGTCCTGGCACTTACGTTCGCGGAAGTTTTTGCTTTTCGGCCACTTCGAGGCGCGAAACAGCTTCGTCGGACCCATCCCCTGCAGATCGTCCAGTCGAAACAGCAGCCTGTCGACGCAGTCCTTCGCGAATTTCCGCCCAAGCTTCACACAGTCGTTGGAGTCGCTCTTGTAGATGTGGCCCTTGATTGTCCGCTCGTGCAGGGTGTACATGTGGTTAATCGGCCGCCCTTAGTTGTCCATGCAACGCACGTGCACCTTATGGCCCGCCCGCTTCCCATACAGCGTCATGAACTTCGGCAGCCTCCCATTGCCAGTTCCACCGAAGACGGCCTTGGTGTCGAGGTACATGTGCGCGAGGTCGTTGGTGACCGAATCGGCGGTCTTCACCACCTCGGTGACGTCCACCTGCTCACAAACAATAGAGACGGTTAGAAGATACAGGTACCTAGCAAACACGGGCAATCACATGTTTGAGGCTCACCTGGCGCTTCTGGAATGAACAGTTGAGGTCGTTCATGTCGCTGAGTATGTCAGCGAGGAAGAAAAGGAAGAACAAAAAATTGTACGACGTCACCACCTCGTACAGGTCGTGCTCTTTCTCGTGAAAGAGCACAATCGCGGCTCCGAGCACCTTGCATAGTCGCTTCACCGCGTCTCCCCTCGACAACCAGCGCACGTTGTGGATGCCCTGGACCTCAAGGTTCGTGTTGTAGATGATGCGCTGCAGGTACTTGAACCTCTGGCTCCACATGGATGAGCTACCGAGGCGTTCCGGCAGTGTCCGCACCACCGTGTCCACCATCGAAAGATCTGGAATAGCCGCCGCCGCCGCATCTTTCACCGCCAGTGCCTCCCTGCAAGTAATGCGCTGGTCAGTTTGGTCGGTATGAGCGCCTGTAGTGCAGGTACCATGCACGACCGGAATGCCTATATCTGCCGAATTACATGGATCCAAATGGTTAGAACCTGGTAGAGGGGTGGGAGATGGTATGATTTAGTGGAAACGGAAAACAAATATATGGTACTCACTGTATTTATATAGAGAAAATGATGCGTTGGTCGGTTTGGTCAGTATGCACGCTTGTGTGCAGGTACAAGACGGAGCTGGAACTCTGAAATCTCTCAAATTATGTGGATCCAAATGGTTAGAACCTAGTGTTGTTGAAGTAGAAGGCCTATTCTAATAGGCTGACAAACATAAGTAATGCGCTGGTCAGTTTGGTCAGTATGCGCGCCTGTAGTGCATGTACCATGCATGACTAGAATGCCTGTATCTGCCGAATTACATAGATCCAAATAGTTAGAACCTGGTAGGGAGGTGGGAAATTGTATAATTTAGTGGAAAAGGAAAAAAAGAATGTATGGTACTCACTGTATTTATACAGAGAAAATGATGCTTTGGTCGGTTCGATCAGTATGTATGCTTGTGTGCAGGTTCAAGGCGGAGCTGGAACTATGAAATCTCCCAAATCAAGGATCCAAATGGTTAGAACCTAGTGTTGTTGAATAGAAGGCCTAATCTAGTGGACTGGCAAGAAAATGGTACTAATTGCATCTCTACAAACATAAGTAATGCGCTGGTCAGTTTGGTCAGTATGCGCGCCTGTAGTGCAGGTACCATGCACGACTAGAATGCCTATATCTGCCAAATTACATAGATCCAAATGGTTAGAACCTGATAGGAGGGTGGGAAATGGTATGCTTTAGTGGAAAAGCAAAAGATATATGGTACTCACTATATATATACAGAGAAAATGATGCGTTGGTCGGTTCAGTCAGTATGCACGCTTGTGTGCAGGTACAAGGCGGAGCTGGAACTCTGAAATCTCCCAAATTATGTGGATCCAAATGGTTAGAACCTAGTTTTGTTGAAGAAGAAGACCTAATCTAGCGGAATGGCAAGAAAATGGTACTAACTGCATCTCTACAAACATAAGTAATGCGCTGGTCGGTTTGGTCGGTATGCGCGCCTGTACTGCTGGTACCATGCACGACTGGAATGCCAATATCTGCCGAATTACATGGATCCAAATTGTTAAAACCTGGTAGTGGGGTGGGAGATGGTATAATATAGTGGAAAAGGAAAAAATGTATGGTACTCACGGTATTTATACAGAAAAAAATGATGCGTTGGTCTGTTCAGTCAGTATGCACGCTTTTGTACAGGTACAAGGCGGAGCTGGAACTCTGAAATCTCTCAAATTGTGTGGATCCAAATGGTTAGAACCTAGTTTTGTTGAATTAGAATGCCTAATCTAGTCGACTCGCAAGAAAATGGTACTAACTGCATCTCTACAAACATAGATAATGCGCTGGTCAGTTTGGTCGGTATGCGCGCCTGTACTGCAGGTACCATGCACGACTGGAATGCCTATATCTGCCGAATTACATAGATCCAAATGGTTAGATCCTGGTAGGGGGGTGGGAAATGGTATAATTTAGTGGAAAAGGAAAATGTGTATGGTACTCACTGTATTTATACAGAGAAAATGATGCGTTGGTCTGTTCAGTCAGTATGCACGCTTTTGTGCTGGTACAAGGCGGAGCTGGAACTCTGAAATCTCCCAAATTATGTGGATCCAAATGGTGAGAACCTAGTGTTGTTGAAGTAGAAGGCCTAATCTAGTGGATTGGCAACAAAATGGTACTAACTGCATCTCTACTAACATAAGTAATGCGCTTGTCAGTTTGGTCGGTATGCGCGCCTGTAGTGCAGGTACCATGCACGACTGGAATGCTTATATCTTCTGAATTACATAGATCCAAACGGTTAAAACCTGGTAGGGGGGTGGGAAATTGTATAATGTTGTGGAACATGAAAAAAATGTATGGTACTCACTGTATTTTTACAGAGAAAATTATGCTTCGGTCGGTTCGATCAGTATGCACGCTTGTGTGCAGGTTCAAGGCGGAGTTGGAACTATGAAATCACCTAAATTAAGGATCCAAATGGTTAGAACCTAGTGTTGTTGAAGTAGAAGGCCTAATCTAGTGGACTGGCAAGAAAATGGTACTAACTGCATCTCTACAAACATAAGTAATGCGCTGGTCAGCTTGGTCGGTATGCGCGCCTGAAGTGCAGGTACCATGCACGACTAAAATGCCTATATCTGGCGAATTACATAGATCCAAATGGTTAGATCCTGGTAGGGAGGTGGGAATTGGTGTAATTTAGTGGAAAGGGAAAAAATATATGGTACTCACTGTATTTATACAGAGAAAATGATGCGTTGGTCGGTTCGGTCAGTATGCACGCTTGTGTGCAGGTACAAGGCGGAGCTTGAACTATGAAATTTCATAAATTATGTGGATCCAAATGGTTAGAACCTAGTGTTCTTGAAGTAGAAGGCCTATTCTAATGGACTGACAAAAAAATGGTACTAACTGCATCTCTACAATCATAAGTAATGCGCTAGTCAGTTTGGTCAGTATGCGAGCCTGTAGTGCAGGTACCATGCATGACTGGAGTGCCTGTATCTGCCGAATTACATAGATCCAAATTGTTAGAACCTGGTAGGGAGGTGGGAAATTGTATAATTTAGTGGAAAAGGAAAAAAAAAAAATGTATGGTACTCACTGTATTTATATAGAGAAAATGATGCTTCGGTTGGTTCGATCAGTATGTATGCTTGTGTGCAGGTTCAAGGCGGAGCTGGAACTCTGAAATCTCCCAAATTAAGGATCCAAATGGTTAGTACCTAGTGTTGTTGAATAGAAGGCCTAATCTAGTGGACTGGCAAGAAAATGGTACTAACTGCATCTCTACAAACATAAGTAATGCGCTGGTCATTTTGGTCGGTATGCGCGCCTGTAGTGCAGGTACCATGCACGATTGGAATGCCTATATCTGGCGAATTACATAGATCCTAATGGTTAGATCCTGGTAGGGAGGTGGGAATTGGTATAATTTAGTGGAAAAGGAAAACAATACATGGTACTCACTGTATTTTTACAGAGAAAATGATGCATTGGTCGGTTTGGTCAGTATGCACGCCTGTGTTCAGGTACAAGGTGGAGCTGGAACTCTGAAATCTCCCAAATTATGTTGATCCAAATGGTTAGAACCTAGTGTTGTTGAAGTAGAAGGCTTAATCTAGTGAACTGGCAAGAAAATGGTACTAGCTGCATCTCTACAAACATAAGTAATGCGCTGGTCTGTTTGGTCGGTATGAGCGCCTGTAGTGCAGGTACCATGCACGACTAGAATGTCTATATCTGCCCAATTACATAGATCCAAATGGTTAGAACCTGATAGGGGGGTGGGAAATGGTATGATTTAGTGGAAAAGCAAAAGATATATGGTACTCACTGTATATATACAGATAAAATGATGCGTTGGTCGATTCGGTCAGTATGCACGCTTGTGTGCAGGTACAAGGCGGAGCTGGAACTCTGAAATCTCCCAAGTTATGTGGATCCAAATGGTTAGAACCTAGTGTTGTTGAAGTAGAAGGCCTAATCTAGTGGACTGGCAAGAAAATGGTACTAACTGCATCTCTACAAACATAGATAATGCGCTCGTCAGTTTGGTCAATATGCGCGCCTGTAGTGCAGGTACCATGCAAGACTGGAATGCCTATATCTGCCGAATTACATAGATCCAAATGGTTAGATCCTGGTAGGGGGGTGGGAAATGGTATCATTTAGTGGAAAAGGAAAAAATGTATGATACTCACTGTATTTATAAAGAGAAAATGATGCGTTGGTCGGTTCGGTCAGTATGCACGCTTGCGTGCAGGTACAAGGCGAAGCTGGAACTCTGAAATCTTCCAAAGTATGTGGATCAAAATGGTTAGAACCTACTGTTGTTGAAGTAGAAGGCATAATCTAGTGGACTGGCAAGAAAATGGTACTAACTGAATCTCTACCAACATAAGTAATGCGCTGGTCAGTTTGGTCGGTATGAGCGCCTGTAGTGCAGGTACCATGCACGACTGGAATGCCTATATCTGCCGAATTACATGGATCCAAATTGTTAAAACCTGGTAGTGGGGTGGGAGATGGGGTGGGAGATGGTATAATGTAGTGGAAAAAGGAAAAAATGTATGGTACTAACTGTATTTATACAGAAAAAAATGATGCGATGATCTGTTCAGTCAGTATGCACGCTTTTGTACAGGTACAAGGCGGAGCTGGAACTCTGAAATCTCTCAAATTGTGTGGATCCAAATGGTTAGAACTTAGTGTTGTTGAAGTAGAAGGCCTAATCTAGTCGACTGGCAAGAAAATGGTACTAACTGCATCTCTACAAACATAGATAATGCGCTGGTCAGTTTGTTCGGTATGCGCGCCTGTACTGCAGGTACCATGCACGACTGGAATGCCTATATCTGCCGAATTACATAGATCCAAATGGTTAGATCCTGGTAGGGGGGTGGGAAATGGTATAATTTAGTGGAAAAGGAAAAAGTGTATGGTACTCACTGTATTTATACAGAGAAAATGATGCGTTGGTCGGTTCGGTCAATATGCACGCTTGTATGCAGGTACAAGGCGGAGCTAGAACTCTGAAGTCTCCCAAATTATGTGGATCCAAATGGTGAGAACCTAGTGTTGTTGAAGTAGAAGGCCTAATCTAGTGGACTGGCAACAAAATGGTACTAACTACATCTCTACAAACATAAGTAATGCGCTTGTCAGTTTGGTCGGTATGTGCGCCTGTAGTGCAGGTACCATGCACGACTGGAATGCTTATATCTTCTGAATTACATAGATCCAAATGGTTAAAACCTGGTAGGGGGGTGGTAAATT